ACACGTCTCTCGTTTCTTCCTTGGCTTTATCCATCCCTCTCCATTGTGCGTTTTTTGTTTTGTTTTCTTCCATGAGTCCAAATTAGCTTTAATCAATTGTCCCTATAATCAATTGGTTTAGTGGCTACGTTAAAGTGAGAAATGATTTATCCGTGACTTTAAAATCTTACGAACAACCGATATTTTAATCGTCGTAGATATTTTTGAGTGTTTTGAAAATTAATAATCAAAAACATTAGATGTTAATTACAATTTACAACTTGTAATCAAATAGCAGTGTAGTAAAGTATTTAATACTATGAGATAAACAATTAAATAACTAAACATAAGAATTAATAATGTTTAAATGGGTCTGGACTTTGAATTTCCAGAATAGCTTTGTGGAGCAAATTTTGGAAGAGTGAATAAAATATGGATGAATTTATTAATTAGAAGTTTCCTGCCTTCCTGGATAGGATCCTTTATTTTTTTATTTATATAAAGTGATTTGGATTTAATGATGTGATTTGATCCAAAACTATAAACAAATCCAACTAATTAGCTATGATTGAAACGTGAAAACATTAAAGAAAAGAAAAGAAAAGGTTAGAAGATTGCTTTTTGAACAAAATTAGGCGAATTACATTTTCCATTTGGGATTCTAATCCGCCATTGAAGATTCCTCCTTGACCTGTTGATCTTCTCAAGTCTTTTTTTTTTTTTGTGATTTGGTCTTCTTCGTCTTCGTCTTCGTCGAGTTGATACATGACATAACTAAAGGTGCGTGATTTTTCTATTAACTTTTCGATCGAAATTATTTATAATCTCACTTCTGGGTGAAGAATCTTTCAATAAATCATATATTTTGAGTTTGCTTTTTGATTTAATTCGGGAAAATCTTAAAACGTATAGATTTCGTTTGTCTTCTTGTATACTAATTCAAGGTTTTTTTTTTTCTTTTTTAAATGAAATCTACAATTCTGACTTTCTTCTAAAACTGGGAAAAAATTCAATATTTACTAGCTTCGTAACGGCAAGTCGGTGATGAAGGTAACGTGATTGAATCTTCTTCATCTTCTTTCTCTTACGAGTCAAGAGACCGACCAATGAGCCGCCAAATAACAATTGTTTCTTATTTATCTTGTAAGAGGCCTTAGGCGTGAATATTCACCAATCTTCCTGCAAACGATTTTTTGTTTCTTTTTTTGCCGTTTCAAGTTATAAATAATTATCCTCTGTTAGTTCTTCTGAGATCACATCAAGTTTTCTATTGCCAATAGGTATTATTGCATATTGTTGAATCGATTC